ATATATATATTTAATTTTGACTTCTAAAGAGACAGATTCCCACCCCCACCTCTTTCTCCTCTCTACTGTGTATTCTAATATATATCTATGTATAAATTTATGTTTGCATATATATTGCGGAAACTATGTTTGATTATATAAATAGAAATTTATAGTTAAGATAATCAAGTAAGGGCAAATGGGTCATGCAAAGTTATCTGACAATGACAAAATCTGAGGGAGACTTTAAGTGATATGTGGTAAAAGAAAAATTAATATTTCTAAATAACACACAATCCGGATCACCAGCTATGCAGACCAGCTCACGGAAGGGATTGCCAACTGGGCCATACAGCAGGATCATCTGGGAACCACTATTTAAATATATTTTATCACAGAAATCTTCTTAAACTGAACTGTTTGTATATAATTTCCCAAGTCAAATCTGTGGCTCTGATATATTTAAATTTACTCATACATCTTATATTAGAAGCCTTCTGTCAAAATGTGCATGAACCAATACACTATACATTATATGATCTTTCTAAATATTTAGCCATTATACTTGAACATAGTGTTTATGGTTCTGTTTAATTTAAAAATTTCAAAGGGTATCACTATCAAAATGAAATAATTCATTTCCTATAAATAGCTTCAACATATTTAAACATTAATAATGTCTTCTAAAGATACATACACAGCACAAATTTTTCATTCTTATTTTTAGGTCACTTGGATTTTGATTTTAAAATTTATTGTATACATAATGCAGCGACTAATTTTTAAAATAAAATTGTCCAGGTATATACTGCTTCTTCTGAGGAAATTATGGCAAGATACACATGACATTTCTCTTGAAAATAAATATTTAATCATGTGGACCATTCAAATACTTCTATTAACAAAATAAAGGATATTGAAATAGCCTACTAATAAATGAAGACAAGAACAGAGTTCTTAGCAAAGAGAATCTCATTCTTAGCTGAAAGGAATGATATTTTCTGGGCTTTGCATAGAAAGGGGCTGCGTTTCCCCACCAAACACTGCCTACGTGCAGGACGTGCTGTCTGCTTTCTACTGATGGTCACATTCCTGTATGTAGAGTTAAGAAAGTCAATTTACCGTGTCTGAGAAACGGTAAAACTTCTCCAATGCAAAAGCTTCTGTCTGCGGGAAGGTAAAGTGAACCAAGAGGGATTGAAACACCAGAGTCAAGTCAGATATTCTTAAATATAATTACACAGTTGATCTAATCACGTACAACATTTTAAAGTACCAAAGTGTCAATTAATAAACTCTCATATATGCAAGATATGAATAGAACTTAAAAAAAAAACTGAATCGTTTTCCTCTGTATCAAAATCTTATTACAGGGGCCAGGGAGATGGCTCAGTGGAATAAGTGTTTCACTGGCAAGCACAAGAGCCTGAGTTCAATCCACAGTTCCAAAAAAAAAAAGAAAAAAAAAAAAAAAACAACAACACCTTATTACATTATTTACATTTGCTTTGTGAATTTTTCTAATAGCAATTAGAAAGTAAGATACTACAATTTTTGCATTTCTACATTTTAACAGTACCAGTCACTGTGAAAAATCTATCTTTCTTAGCTTTCTCAAAGCTAAACAGTAAAGAACATCAGATACTCTTATCTCACTCTTACATGTGATGAGGTGAATAAACAATCATTTTGATAGGGATAATTGTTTTTTAGATTTGCTTATTTATTTGGTACTGGGTGTCAGTACACAGCTCACACTCATAGTGATCCTTCTGTCTCAGCCTCCCCAGTGCTGGGAGTAGAGGCCTGTGCCACCATGCCCTGTTGCAGTGGGTGGCACAGTGTGGAGCTGGCCTGGCATATAGTACTGGGGATGGAACCCAGGTCCTTGTGCTTGCCAGATGGGTGCTTGCACTACTGAGCTATCTCCCTGGTCCCAAGAAGAATAATTTTGCAAAACAGAAGAACTGCAACTGAGCATCTATTACTTTCCCTAGGAGACCCAGTGACTGATGGCCATGGAATGTGCTTGAACTCACAGACTGTCCCCATCTTGTCTGTCCCCTGAAGTACCATACTTCTCATTTCTAGGATTTGTGTCACACGACCAATACATTATAAGATGAATAAAAGGAGAAAAAAGACAATGAAGTGACATTATTTTGTCGTTCTAAAATTTCACTTGTGCCTAAAATGTCAATTGGCATATTAACTTTAGAAGACAAAAATTGGCTGGAGATCTGTTTTCAAGACAAACTCTTACTTTACAGAAAAGTGAAGGGAGTGGTCAAAACCCTGAGGCTATAAAAGATGCCATGACAGGACTTAACTGAAGGATGCAACCCCACTCCACACCTACAATTCTTCACATTTCCTAAAGATCTAAATAAATTTTCTTTTATTAGATCATAGTAAGGCCTGTGCTAGTATTAAATTGTGTATTTGTGAAAATATGCACGAGACCACCTATTTTTGCATGAACTTAAAAATCACGATATTAATAAGTAATATTATATGGAAACAAAGGAAGTAGTTCAGGAAGAACAATATTAATAATTATAGCTCTGACAGATCAGGTAAAACCATTAAAAATACTAGCATTGCAAGTTAAGAAATGGTCTACTTCATTCATCAATGTCAAAATATGTCTTCTAGAAGTACATGAGAGAGGCTGATAAAGCTTCCATCCTACCAGATACCCTGCTAAAGTAAAGGCAGCTGGCAAAATTTTTTCCTTGATGCTTTGGTCTTTAAAGTTTTTTTTTGTTGTTTTGTTTTTGAACCGGGGGTTGAACTCAGGCCCTTGCACTTGCCAGGGAAGTGCTTATTCCACTGAGCCATCTCCCCGGCCCCTGGTACTTAAAGTTTTAATTGGACAGAAACAATCAGCAACACCAATTTCTTTCCTTTTCATCTCCATTAAGAACAAAAACCATCACTTTCCAGCCAAAAATGTTATTCTGCCCAGCTCAGTTCACTTAGTCATTTACCTTATTCTTTCTCTTTCGTCGAAATCGTAGCAGTTCTTTGTGTTGTCTTGATACGAAGTTTACAGCTGCATACTCCAGAAGTGCTGAAAACACGAACAGGAGGCACACTGCCATCCAGATGTCAATGGCCTTGACATAGGAAACCTAGCCAAGAAAGGAAAAGTCCCATGTTGGTTTGTATTGTTGCTTTCTTTGAGAACAATACTGCAACTTTCTGGGTTTTAGTATCATTTATGCATCAACTTTAAAATGAAAGAGAACATCAACAATTTTTAAAGTTTTTTTCAGATAGTTTTTACAACTTGCATGTACTAAGTTTACATTTAAAACATGTACGTATTTTGTTATTTTCTTCAAATGGATCTTTAGCCCAAATGTAAGATGGAAAAAAGATGAAATATAAATTATCTTTAGGGTAGTATAATGCTTGGAGTATAAAGTAACACTGAAATGTATATAATACTGATGATTTTTTAGTTTTATTTTTAATGAATTTTTAAAATTTGAATACTTTAAAACTTATACTCTTATTTATTGACTTTGCTAAGATGTAGTAACCATACTCATAAGTGAAATAAATCAGACCCATATGTGTGAACATCATATTGTGACCCTGTAAGAACCTGAAAGAGAAAAGAAAAATCCAAAAAGCACAATAAAAATAAGATACTATTCAATGTATTTATTAATCAACTAGATGGCTATTTGCTATCCAATTTGACATGTTTTTACCAGTATGTAAGAGGAATAGTAAAGAAAATTTTGAACTTTCTGAGTTGTTAATATTTGAATATTAAACCATACTGTATGATTCGTAGTATGCACATGTTGCTCCCCTACTGACTCACTTACCATCTGCCGACAGCACTACATACTCAACAGAATCAAGAACTTGGCTTTGATTCAACACTGCCATCTAATTCTAACCCTGTTTCCATTTTAGCACTGTCCCAGTACTAAGCATTTTATTTTATTTTCTTCCATCTATCTCAGGATTTAATCTAGGATCATATATTGCACTTTATTTTCATGTTTCTTTAGCCTCAGTTGTGGAGCATTTGCTCAGTATTTCCTTGAAGTCTTGTAATATTCATATTTTTGAGTAAGACCAACTATTTTGCATGGTGTCTCACTTAAAGTTTGCTCTTTTTTTTTCTTTCTGCATTTATGACAGGGTCTACAGGGTCTCACTATGTAGATTGGACTCATAGTGATTCTCCTGTTTTCAGTCTCCAAAGCGCTGGGATTACACGCTTGCGCCACCACGCCAAGTCTCAATCACCATCTCAGCGCGCCCGTGGGCGGAGCTGGTATGGAACTCTGGGAATGGAATCCCCCTCTCTGCACTCTGCCTAAATAGGAACTTTAGTCCACTGGGCTATCAGGCAGACCCTGAAGTTTGCTTTTTAAAACAGGGATTCCTCTCCTGTAAAGCCCTGTTCTGTATCCAGTCATGAGGTTCAAAATTTTGCTCACTTGGTTATTACAGGGTCTGCTAGGTTTATGTATTATAGTTTTAATATTTTTCCAAGTGTGAAATGATTTTAAACTGTGCAAATTTTGGGCAATGGATGTGGTTCAGCAGTAAAATGCCAAGTTGAGTACCTGGTACAAAAGGAATAAGAATATTCTATCAACCTATCGTCTGTTTTGTAAAGTATAGATTTAAATCATATAAGTTCGATAACTGCCAGAAACTTCCAGGAGTCTTTGAATACATGGGGTGTCATGAGACATGACACATAATGTTTTCAAAATCATTACCTTCAGCCATAATGTTTTCAAAATCATTACCTTCATCATTCTTGGAAATATGACTTAACGTAAGTGCATATCTGTCAACAACCTGGATCCTCTCTGTGCTCTCCCTGTCTCCTCTCATTGTCTTTATCTTCTTCCCATGACACGGCCTCTCCTATTTGCTCACAACTCCAAAATCTATGTCTTCTAATTCGATCTAAGGACTTCATTTAACAGTCCCCTCCAGATAACACACACACCTCAAGCTTGACTAAACAGGAATTCTGTATCTTTACCAGACTCCTCCAAATGAACAGCAAACAAGCACAACTGCCTCTTTCTCTTCATTAAAAGGCTCCATTTTATTTGCAGTTATCTATCCTCTAACACAGGAGTCCTCTCATTGTCATATCAAAGATCCAGTCCTGTGAAAAATTATATCTTCTTGGTGTTTTTCATGTTGTCATAACATTGATCTAAGCCGTAGTGATGTTTTCCAGTCCTTCAGATCTAACTTTGACACAACAGCGATTATTTTTAAAGGCAAGGCAGATCATATTGCCCTTGACTTAAAACTTTATTTTTATCTCATTATTTTAAAGCCTCAAATCTATTTTATGCTGTATAAAGCTCTTCACAATTAGGTCCCAAGTTACTTTTCTTACCACATTCACTTAATTATTCACTAGTTCATTCAGTGTTTTCACTTTTTTCATTAAATAGTCATTGAATACTAATAGCAAACCCAATTTCTACTCTTGGTACAGCATGTACAGAGATGAGTATGACAGCCAAGATTCATTATTAATAGAACTTACATTTAAGCAAGGAATATATAAAAAAGTCAGACACATAAATGAGATCACTGTCATAAAAAGTAGTTGGAAGTGTAATGCGATAAAGAGAATAGGACTGGGCAAAGGAGGGCTAAATCAGATTGGGGGTCGTCTGGGAAGACATCTGTGAAGGTACACAGTGCTACTTGTCAGTTTGTGTCACTTTCTTATTTCCTTATTGTTTCTAGTTAAAATTTCCTTCTTTTAATTTTTGGACCTGAAAGTAATTAGCAACCTCCACATCACCTAGACGGCTTTGCTATAGCCATTACTTCCATCTAGAACACTCCTTTCAGGTAGCTGGGTGTCCTCAGTTCTCAGCTTCAAAGGGCTGAGTTTGGTCAGTCTACCGCTTGATAAGAAGTATTCCAGGCTAGCAACATACATGTCACTTTTTTCAAAATTCCCCAGTCAGCAGTACGCACAACTACTTTGACTCCAAGGGCACTGGGAAAGGCAGCCTTACCACATACTTCATTGAGAAAGAAAGGCAGAAAGCTTTGCCAAGCACTGTGCCTGCCTTAGGGGGCAGGGAAGGAAGTGTTTACATTGTGCTTTGGCAAAAGCCCTGAATCCGCATACGTTCTGGGCTGAGGAAAAGCAAGAATCATGATTTTGTCACTATTTGTGCTATCCTGAGTAGAAAAACACAGTCTCTTTATAGAGCAAAATGTACTTCTTCATAGAAAAATAAAACTGTAATTAAGAAAAATAAAATTTATTGATTTTTCAGCCAAAAGTCATAGTGTCAGGTACAAATTTGGTAAAATTCTATTGTAAGAAGGTACAGAAACTAGAGTCCATGACTGAAGACATAGTTCATTGGGAAGGCCCTGGAGTTAATACCTGGCACTGAAAAAAAAAAAGTCCAGAGTCCAATTAGCACTGTAAAACATGAACTCAATCTAAGATTAAAAAGAGGAAAGACCATTAAGGTGTTTCATGTACATTCACCAAGTTCCCAAGAGGCATGTAACTGTTATATATTGCAAATATGCACTAATAGAAAAAAAAAAACAGGAAAAAAGAACCAAAAATTGTAGGTTAAATTTAAAAATGGGAAAACATTAAACCAGAATGTACACATTAGAACCTTAAAAAAATCTTATCTAAAATTAGGTATAGGTACTCCATAAGGCCAATCTTTAGGAACAATTTAGAAGTAAATATTATGGCAGTTTTTCTCATTCCAAATTCACTTTTTATTTGAGAAAGATTTGTTATAAGAATCAGAGTGAATCCTTTCATTTACCTAAACAGTCTTTTGAACAGGCAATCTATTCTTTCTCTAATGAGAATCCTCCTGAATTCTTCATTTCTGGGTAAAGTAAAGGATAATGTGTAATCCTGGCTGTGGAAGGTCAGGTGATTCAGGCATACAGGTAAACGCTTAGCTTCTTGTGTCAGACCTTGTTCTCTAAGGTCTTTATTTCAGCTCTCTGTGACTTTTCACTTCACCTTGCATTGCTTAAATACAAATTGTATTTACCTCTGTAGATCTCCTTGGTAGAAAAGTTTAAATTTTTTAATGTTTATGTAAAACTAATATTAATCTGTGGATGAGATGGGATGGGGGATAAAAATGAGTCCAGATACAGTGTTCCCTAAGACAAATGTTAACTTCATGCATTGCAAACATGTAGTAGTAAAATTTTAAAAACTAATCCCCAAATATTTCAGATATTACATAATATCTAAAGCCAGAGAAAGTGGTATTTAGAACAGAGCAAATGAATAAACAGTGTTTCTAAAAGATAGGTTAAAAGGGAATGAAGGCAGAGGAGAGCTCTAGGCACTAGGACAGGATATTGTCATCTTTGACATTCGGACATTCATCATCAATGTTGGAGGGTGACTCGCAACATTCATTTTTAGAGCTGGAATTTCTGCCCTGATACCTGAAAGTGCTAATGTATGTCACATCTACTGTCACGCTCTATGTCACATCTACGTCACTCTGCTGTGGCTGCTACCAACCTTGCCAGACTGCCATCTACTGTAGACTACGACAACTTCTCTGGTAATCACCCTGTCTCCAGTTCTGCTCCTTCCTGCTGATCCTCATACAGAAAGCAGAGTGATAATTCCTCTTTTGAGATTTTTAGTTGCCAACACTACACTCAAAATAATCCTAATCATTAGCAAGGGCTAGAAAACCTTCCATGACATGGCCCTCAAATCATTGCCAAAAATTCAGGGTAAGAAAATCCTCAGAAAGTTACGTAACCTTGAGAATTTGTTGGCAATATGTTGCATATGAGACCCTCTGCAGACCACTCAATGCAAGCACTGCAGAAACATAAAACTGTTCCCCATTTCCAAAAATGAGTCTGATGAGTCTTTCTGTTTTGGGTTGACATGTTTGATTCATAATGATACTATGGGGACCAATGCAGTACACAATATCTAGAAGAATTTTAACTATGTAACTCTTAAGAAGTTGGCTACAATATGGTTTTAGAGATTTTCTACTCTGGATCTTATTTGACTCAACACTTTCTTTTTTTTGTGGTACTGGGGATTGAACTCAGAACCCTGCGCTTGCCAGGAAAGCACTTATTCTACTGAGCTATCTCCCCAGCCCCACAACTCTTTCTTATCCAGGAAAATATGTAAACACAATTTCAATCACTAAGAAGTTGACATAAATTTCTGATTATTTTATTTCTCTTATGTTTGATAATTTATTTCTCTAACTTTAATTTACTACACTTAGTAGAATTTTCCAGTAGGCTAATGGTGGGCATTTTATAGGCAAGGCTTTCAGGTATTCGAGGGATCTTTTGTGGAGTGAGAATAGCAAGTGTTAAGGTGCCAGTTTCAGGTATCTGTTCCTAAAGGCAAAAGTAAACTTTTATCTATTGCTTTTCTAGCCTGCTAAAAAAATTGTAAAATTGTATTTTTAAAGGGATTTTCTACACTCTTTTGCCTGAATCACCTCAGGCAGAAGATTAATTCTGCTTTAGCCCAGGTCTTTAGAGTCTGCCTTCCTGAATTCTAATGTAGGAAACCAACCATGCTTAACCTATCAATACTTAACTAGCAGAAAATTGGAAAGAATGTGGACACCTTGCTATTACTTGGTCAGTCAGGTGATTTTGTGTGAGAGCAAAGCTGTCATCTTTCTAGTGTTCACTGTGTCTATGGATAGTAGATAGGATTTGTGTATACCCATATATATGCTTGATTCATGATTTAAAACTTATCCCTTCTTTGAAATCCCAGTGAAATAAATTTCTTCAAAAATTTTTTCCTGGGCCAGCAAGATAGCTCAGTGGACTAAGTGCCTGCTTAGGTAAGCACCGGGACTGGGATTCAATTTTCTGCACCTCAGCCACATTGGCCCCACCCCTAAGTGCTCTGAACCAGCCACCTAGACCAGTCTTGGTTGCCCACACTTGTAATCTCAGCACTGAGGAGGTGGAAAACAGGAGGATTACTACAAGTCAGAGCTGTGTAGTGAGACCCTCTACCAAAAACATTTAAAAAGAATCCTATTTTTTGAGAAAAGTATGAATTTGTCCCAAATAATCCTTTGCATTTTTAAATGTGTGTCCTTGTTCTGTCTTTTTAATTTGTTGCTTTATTTATGGTTTTTCTACTCAAACTTCCAAACTTAATTTCCATACATAATCCCTTTCTGCTGCACTTTATGGATGCGATAAGTTCCTGAAGCCCAGAGTTTTGCTCTTCTTTCTGGTTGACAACTTACAGAGCAAGTGAGTTTTCATTTCTGTTCAATTCATGAGGGAGATCAGTGAGTAAATTTCCTTTACAAATTCACTATGGAATTTCCACTATCATTTAAGCCCTTGAGACTTTTATACACATATAAATTAGCACTGAAAGCTTGATCTTACTATCTAATAAATATTTGTATTTTTCACATTGACAATATTTTGAAAAGTATGAATTGAAGTAGACTGCTTTGAAAGTATAACTACTAATAAAAACATAAACTATTTTGAAAGACAATCATTAAATCTTAGTGAGGTATAGTGAAAACTATACAATAGCATGTTCTTCCCAAATTATGCAACATTTCAGTGATAAGGTATCCTGTGACCAACTGTTATTTATTTAGGTGTTTTAATGTACATATATGAATCATATAATACAATTAATAGAAGGGATTCTGGAATAGTAAATTTATTACTTACTTAAAAAGTAGACAGCATGAAGTGCACAAGGATATTTAATACAATTTTACTGCATGGAAGTATATAATTTCAATGAAAATTACAATGATATCTGCATTTGATGATTTACTAGAATATTAGATTTAGAAAAAATAAATTTTCAGGAGTTATAAGAAATAAATAACTTCTTTTTTCTCCTGCGGCTAAATGGTTGAAAAGAACTTCTTTTAGCTCAGCAAAACTTATGAAGGAAAATAGATCTTTTGCAAACATCACAGAGGGGACAGCTTGATATTTTTAACAGCCTATCATGTTGCCTTCCATTATATTTATTGTTTTATTTTAAGAGAACAAAAATAATAAAAAAATTAGAAATGAGGCAGAATTTCGAAAAACAAGACTATAGGAATTCCACAATTGTTTACTGCATACTGTTATGTTCAAAGTAGATGTTCAGAGTATCAAATATAAGCATGTAAAATTGGCCATAAAAAAGAAGCAGCTTGATTTTGATTCTGGAGTCTTAGCAAGAACTAAAATCATGGAGTTTGATAAAATTTCCTTTCAAATGATACACGGATAATCGAAAGCCAGAGGGAGAAAATTTTGTAAAATCATAAGCACTATATTTGGTTAGAATGCAGCACTCAAGCTCTGATATACATACTTATAGGAGAGCAATCGCCTTATTTTCCTGGAGATAAATTTGGCCACACATATCAATTTCTGAAGGCAGAAATTCTAGTTCTAAATATGAATGCTAAGAATATAATATGAAATGTGTGTAAAGCTATTACGTGTGTGTATAAATGTGTGTTAATACATATAGCTATGCATATTGTATTCAGTATGTGTTTCCTACAGTGTTAGAAGAATGAGGAAATTATGGCACATATACTGTGGCTACTATGTCAACTCTTAAAGTACCATGTAAATTCTAATTAAATAAATATTTGACATAGTTCTACGTTAAAATCTATGTAAAATTATAGATATATTTACATATATTCTATATTTCTATAAAGTTTATCTATGCGTTTCTATGTGTGGACTTAAATATAATCTACATTTCTGTTCTATATGGATTTAAAAATTCAAAATTTTTCATACTGTGTAAATTATTTTTTAAAAGTGTTTTGGATATGCTTTCTCAATGCTGTTTTGGATGGTCTTGAACTCGCTCTGCGGTTCAGGCTGGCTTCAAATTTCTGGCACTCCTCCTGCCTCAGTTTCCTAAGTGCTGGGATTACACGAATGTTCTGCAAAGCCCTTTAGACTATTACTGATGATTAAATATTTGGGGAACATCACACAAAGAATGGATAGCAGATATCACTGGTTTATGAAATATGTGTCCTCTCCTCTTTTTATGTTTTCCAATTTTTCTTTTTGGTAACATATTATTTTTTAAACTCTGTGATGAGATACACATACTATTGAAAAAGGTCTGACTATGATGTCTTTATAGGTGTTTGTGTAAATATGTGCACTTTTTCTTAGTGAACTTACCTTTGGTAGGGAGGCTCGGGACCCTGAACTCTGTGTGGTCATGGTCAGCACAGTAGTTATTCCCAAGGCAACCCTGGCTGGGGCCGCATCCATGTTGATCCAGAATGAAACCCAGGACAGAATCACAATCAAGAGACTGGGGATGTACATCTGGATGAGATAGTATCCCATTTGGCGCTCCAGGTGGAATCTCACTTCTATGCAAGTAAACTTCCCTAATTAGTCATAAAATAAACACATTGATTAGTTATAAAATAAACACATTGATTAGTAAAAATGATTTTTTCTTATGGCACCACATATCCCAATTTAATTTTCAGAATGATTTTGTCCTAAAAAGTCTCACCATAATGAAGAAACCACAAAACCATATAATCAGATTTTATTTCTGATTTTTTTTTCTGTTAGTGTCTAGAAGCTATATAAAGAGTGAGATCTTTTAGGAAACAGTATGGAATCTTATTATGTCATCACTGGACAGTACTTAAGCTTGTGAAATTACCGAAAGACTGTGTTTTCATTTGATTAGAGTAACTGTTTGTAAGATAGACAATGAAATATGCATTTATTATATACTGATTTTCTTTACTCATTGACTCTGTTGTTTTTGAATGTTTATTTACACCCAGAAGCTATTGTTTCAAAGATTTTTGTATGTATTTCAAGTCACTGTTCAAGGATAAGCACCAGTAAAGATGAATAGTTCCTTCTATAATAATAAAACAAGAAGATGCCTGTAATTTTAGTAACTTCATGCATAATTTTCAAGCACACAAAAATGAACAATTTACACTTACTTTGCATACTTATGCTTCAATGTCTCTGTTATTTACCTCTGTTGTGGTAATAGAGGAGTAAATTATACTTTAAACATTAAATTGATATTTCTGCTTCTCCTGTGGTTGCACTCCCTTTTCTGTTATCTCTACTACTGCTACTTTACACTTTTTTCTTCTGAATCATCTATTCTTGTATTTTTTAATGTTTATTTTAAGAAAGGTGAGTCAGACACTTAATGATCTTCTCATTAAATAATATTCTTTGGCCCAACTGTGAAAGAACAGTAGCAAAGGCTCATATCCAGGAAGAGTGCTCGTGTCCTGCTAGGGGTTTACCCCTAAAAGATAACACAAGTGATACAAGACATGGCGGAAGATGTGATCCTAGAATTTAATTCTTAACAGAAATTTAGAAGTGCTGAGAAAATTGGATCCTACTTTCTAATGTCTAGTAATTAGAAACATGTCCAAATCTCATAAGTTCCCCTCATCTGTTTACCAAATGCATGCAGAAGGCTTAAAGATTCCTGAGACATATAAAAAATATAGAGAGCTTTAAAGTCCATTTAACATGAAAATTTTAAATTTTCATTGATAACAAAGGAAATAAGCCCAAAATAACTGAAATGTTTTTATGACATCAATGTGAAATAGCCTACTAGGTAATCTCACTACATAATTAGAGCAATTATACTGACCACTTAGGTATTCTGTAGGATTTATCTAAATTTAATTTAATTCTCAAAAAATAACTATTGCTATATTTTTAAAACTTTTTAAAAAAATCCTCAGAAGTAAAGAAGTACACACATGTGCACATACCATTGCTTGTAAGAATAATATATATATTATTATCAAGGTGTTCCCACCACACCTTGATTTCAGATATATATATATATCTTCTGTGGGTTTGCATATACTCATACATGTTCTGCGTGTGATTCTAAGGAGAAAAACAAACAATTTCTACAAAAGAAATCTATAATCTATGCATCATAGCAATCAATTGTTAAGCAAGGAGAAGGGGTTAGAAGGTTTTGACAAGATTAGAAGGAAATAGGCTGTAGGACTTTCATGTAGCTAACTTAAGATATACTTTTGAGCCATGAAGAAAATGAACCTAAACAAAGCATTTGAGTTGGTGCAATCATTTCTTTATACATTTTTCACTTCAATGTATTTCTTTTGGAAAATGAATTGCTAAATGCTTTTCATAAAACCTGGAGTTTTCTTTGCTGATTTCTTTTCATTTGGGTAAATAATGAAAGGGTAATATCTCTGGCTGCCACTGGACAGTAATGACAAATGGTACCTGTGCATTGTAAGAATCATAAAAGGGGAGCTTAGGGTCTGAGCCAAATTAATGGCATACCTGATAGAACAACTTGCCAGGTACATTTACTCTCTCATAATTTTGGAAATCCTATGGTATTCCAATATCCATGACTAGAAAGTTATGAAATTTCTATGATATCACCTAAGAAAACACTTGCTCAGTTCTGCGTTTAGTGTAGACCTTCTTAGTGTATGTCTGTTCCCATAAGTCACAATAACTTGAGGCACATCTCCAGATAGTGTACAGATTTGCTCTTTGTTAAGGAAGAACCTTAGATGTAAATCATAAAAATTCATCCCGAGGCAATCTTACAGCTTCAACTCCTGTTGTGAGTTAAATGTATACTTCCCTAACATTTAGGTGGATCTGGAAGCTGTGAGTGTGACTTTACCTAGACACAAGATATGTGCAGACGTACTCAAGTTAAAATGAAGTTATTCTGGATTAAGGGAGCCCTGGTACAATATACTTGGTGCCTGATAAGAAGAGCCAAATTTGGACAAAGAGACACAGACATAAAAGGAGAATATTATATAACTCTGAAAACAGATAAGAGTGTGTATTCCTTGTGACCCAAGGAATACAAAGGATTAATAGAATTAGGGGATTATAAAGGGCAGGGAGAAGTTGTTCCCTAGAGCCTTCTGGGAAAGTGTGGTTCCCACCACACCTTGATTTCAGACTCCTAACCTCTAGAACTGTGGGAAAATAAATTTCTTTGGTTTTAAGCTACCAAGTTTGCAAGTTCTTTGCGGTAGCCTTAAAAAACTACTACAATCCCCTATCTCAACTCTAGAGACTTTTGCATTTTCCTACAAAGAGTGCATCAGCACAACTACCCTAAGAGAGCCAGCAAGCCAAGGGCTAGCCTGCTGTTCATCTGCAAGTTAAAATGTTCACTGTGAGCCTCACAATAAGCTCACATCTGTCACCTTCATCTTTGAGTTAAAATGGCAGGAGCTTTATGAATGGATATTGTGCATTTGCTTAAAACATAAGAAAGATTAGGGATTTTATATAGCAAAAGGTCAGATCATAGTTCTGGAACATGCTGAGGCCAAAATAAATCATAGTTTTCTGTAATAGAATGATAAGAGCACATCCAGATGCTGATGAAGGACACGCATTCACCAAACTAGAGAGGTGCATTGTGGGAAGTTCGATAGTATTCAGTTATATACAGCTAGGTTAGGTATTTGGAAAGAACCCATATCATTTAAGAAAAATAAATCATTTTATGAAAAATAAAAAATAAAAGTACAAATCATACTGAACCTCTCCATTGTGATTTTTTTTTTTTTTTTTTTTTTTTTAGCGGTACCGGGGATTGAACTCAGGCCCTTGCACTTGCCAGGGAAGTGCTTATTCCACTGAGCCATCTCCCAGGCCCTGAACCTCTCCATTGTTAGAGTTGGTAACTACATCTGATATTTACTCTGAGATATGCCAAGTTCCTGTGTTGGCCCAAGTTGTAGGTGCTTAGATAAAAATGCCTTGTAAACCATGAAAATATGGCCAAAGAGAAAGCTTATGCAAATAAAACCTTTTGCAAAACAGAAATTCCTTTTTTCAAAATAATAATAACATTTTAAGATTAATTTCTCTGTGAATACAGGCTTTTCATACAAGTGACTTACATGTAGTGAGACACCAAGCATTTGTTTGATTTCAGGGGAGCCAATCATATAACAATGTACAGTAAATTAACACAACTGTGTGTTTCAAATGTGTCTTTCTGCTGTGCCCCGTGGAAAACACTGAGCTATATAAAGTTCAAATAGTTAAACTAACATTGCAATTAGTGAACCCTCTGTGCTATCATGAAGTCACGAATCATAATTATAAACAAGAAAAATTAGCCCCCTACCTGTATTATAATGTTTAGTACAATATCGTAAATCTTTTTCTTCTTTCAACAGAAACTGGGGCAACGTGAGTCCTTCTGCCACTTGTACAGGTGCCTCATCTTGCCATTCAAAAATTAGATCATTCATTGTGTACCCAACTAAGCAAAACATAACAAATATTATTGGCTGAAATGGATTTTTAAAGAAAAGGAAAAAGAAAAACAACACTTTCGCAGTCATACAGGCTAACAAGAATAACAGCGTTATCTCACCTTTGTCAGATGAACTATGCATTATCTGATTCCATTTCAAAAACACAGTACACTATCCAAATAATGCAAGAAACTGAAATATCTAAGAAAAAGTATAACATGAAATACTGTGAAGTGTAATGTGACAGTAGAAACACAAGGAAGATACATAGACATTTTCTTGGAAGGGGCAGTTATTTCATTCTTTCAGCAATTTAAATTTTGGTTTTATTCAATTTATTTTTTTCCCTTACCTTGTCTCACATTATTCCAGACTATTTTAACAAAACCAAAACTTTCACTAAATAGAAAATGACTTCAACTAGTACAACGACTCTGTGTGTGTGTGTGTGTGTGTGTGTGTGTGTGTGCCTAACTACTGCTTGATACCTCTCTTGATTTAATTATCTTAGTTTATAGCTGTCGCAGTTAGCTTTTCCTCATTGCTGGGACAAAATCCTGACACCCAAAATTAAGGAAGGAAGGGTTTATTTAGCTCACAGCTTATAGAGGTTTTAGTCCATACTCAGCTGGTTTCAAGGCAGAGTGGTACATGGCAAAGGGCAACCTTTCATGGTGATGGAAGACAGCAAAGAGTAAAGTTTGTAGCACCGGCTATTGGCTATTGCTGCTAGCAAGCCTCCCTCCCTCCCTTACATTTGTATGCAGATTTTCTCCCCAGGGTGGGTGTGGCAATCACACGCATAAACCCAGCAGTGGATCATGAATTAATCACAAACTCTAGAAGCGCCCCCACCACTGCATGAGGCTTTGGGTGGATAACTAGACACAAATCATAACAACAACATCCACTTCTGTGATCCAAGTCCCAATATGGACAAAATTATGTTTTAAATAAAAATATCTTCTTTTTCATACAAAGGAAATCCATCTGAATTGTAGTTTGTGGAGGAAAAAATCTTACATATGCTACCAGTGAATTCAGGATACAATTAAATAACAGATTTGTGGTAGGTCAGCAATGTTTGGTAAACTGTTTTGTCATATTTCATATGAGTTATTGCTAAAACAGGCTACCAAGGGGAGTTGGGGCAAGATGGTCATCACTCTCTCAGGGAGTCCCTTGATGTACAACTACTGCAGAGGTGACAAAGGACTGGCTGTAGTGTGCTTTCTAAACTGAGTCGAGTGGTCAGACAAAGGAAAAAAAATTCCATTACTGTGAAGATACATGCAAGGAACCTGTACCAACTTGTCCTGAAAAAAAGCTTGTATTTTAGGCAAAGAGAACAGGAGTTACTATAAATACCTAATGTGGAGTGGGTAAGGAAGGAAACTAATCGCTCTTCATTCTCCCCAATATCTGTAAGACAACCTCCCAGAGGAAGCTGAATCTAAGAGGCGATAGTGGTCCTGACTGTATTCCTCTCATTGTCTTTCAGGCATGTCTAGCGTGTGCCCACCTACCCTGGGGATGAGAATGGCAAGAGTACTAGCGATCAGACCTCCTTAAATTTCATAGAATTCTTTTGCTACTGTTTATAGCAATGGTAACATCAGTCTCATGGCTTATTACAGAGCAAGCATTTTTTGCTCGAGTTTGTACAATCATGCAGACTCAAGATCTGTATGATTGTTGGTTCTAGAACACATATGGGGACCCCCCCAGTGCTATCCTTTAAATTGTTGCATTAACAGAGGAATAATTTAGTATGACTTGCTTTAAATCAGAATGTATTTCAGCACCTTAATAATTTTTACTGTTAATAATCATGAGTCCTTTAATATGTTCTTTAGAAGCACCACTTTACCTACGTAGAAAATAAGTGTACATTTCTAAGTGATCTAAAAATAATAAAAAAGGCACCAATTTTTAACTGGTACCAAATGAGATGTGTAACCTTTTCTTTAGTGCATACAATAACTGAATACAAAATACTGAGATCTTGTCCCAACTTAGATTAATTGGAAAGGGAGTTGAAAGCTCATTTTAATATTCTACTTTTTTCTCAAGATGTTCTATGGAAGCAAAATAGTTATTGGGAAGTCCCTCCAAAACAAGTTCTACATAGTCTTCAATCCAATTTATAGAAATATATTGATTTTATTCTCATGTTAAATAATAATATCCATTAAATTTTTTAGGAATGACTATTTTATAATCTTAGTGTTTTACCTCTTTATAGTCTATACAATATTTAAATTTGAAATCAGAAAGAAAATAATGAGATGGACAGGTTCAGAGGAAATTCATTAATTTTTCATGACTTACTGAATGCTTAAGGAAAATACCAGGTGATGTAGTTGGGTCAAGAAACTTTTTTCAAAAAAATAAAAGAGCCAATTTTTATCCTGCACAGTTCAAAGTGTTTTAACATCCTTAGATTTAGTTCTATTAGTTGACATATCTCTATAGAAGTCTAAGAATATCAAAGAGAAGCAAATGGCTACTAAATCACAGCAGTGAGTTGAATCACCTTACACTAAAATGAACTTAAAGAAAAATAATTTATTCAGACATTAATTTCAGACAACAATCTCATGATATCTATGGTGGAAACCTGTGAATGAATGATTCAATAGTTTTTTTTTTTTTTCATGAAGTATTTACTGGTCACCAACTGTATGTAAAGTATCTCACCATGCTTGAATTAGACCTTGAAAATCAGGTGGGACTTATTTGTTTTTGAAGAATGTGAGGGAAGGTAAAGCACTTCAGGTGAAAGAATGAGCAAATTCATTGGAAGAAACTGAAAATTACTAACTGATAATAAGAAATAGTAATAGCTTTATTCATCTACAACAGATCCAATTTTCATAAATATTGCATGAAATGAACAGAAAAGATAATATAAGATTGTGTGATGTTTACATTCCAGGTTGAAAAATTTGATGTCTTGAAATGCCTTGTGGGGAATTGCTATGGCTTGTGTCTAGACATCTCCATACCCCTAAATCTTCTGGCAGTCATAGGTGGGGCTTTTTCAGAGGTGACTGGATCTAGAGAGTGTGATAGTGGGATTAATTCATAGCACAATTCTAGGCTCCAGTACACTAGGACTAAAGTTGTGAGTGCTACCTGCCCTAAGTAGCCCAGATAAGATATAGGGGAAGAAAGAGCTCCTTCACTGTTTTGCAACCATCTACTCCCTCTGAACTGTGTCTGTGATCCCTGTCTGCCATACCACCCTTCCTTGGAGCCAGCTGCATGTGGACAAAAACCTCTACAAACCATGAGCTAAATAAACTTTTTGCTCTTTGACTCTGAGTGTCAGGTATTAGGTCTCAACAATGAAAGAAATGTAACTAAGATGGAATTGGATACCAGAGAAACGAAGTCATTCTGTGACTATACCTGGCATGTAGCTCAAGAGCCTTTGGACCTGGCTTGTGGAAATTGGAAGAGTTAGGAAAGGTATAAAGATGTCAGCTGAAAAAGTAGAGCTTGAATACCGTAGGCTGTGTCTTATGGGAGAATCTGCTTAGAGCTCAGAAGATCAAATATTTACGGACAGGTTGCTAGGAAAAACCAGGCTCAGGAGGTTTCTTCTGGGATGGAGAATGGCACTGACTGGTAGATCCCAGATGAAGTGTCTTATAATTTGGCTGAAAGTTTGTCTGCAGTTTACTCATGCTCACATATTTTTTATTAGACTCAGATTAAGGGTGGTGGACTAATCTTACAGAAGAAATGTCAAAGCAGTCTAAGATTGAGGCAATGGCATGGCTACTGTTGGGGGCCTTTAGCCAGATTTATGTTGAGAATCAAGAGAAAAAAGCCAGAGTGATTTAAAAATGTGTCAGTTTGGTCAGAAAGGAAGTGACAATAAATCTGTTTACTACAATGATATAGCCAAGGAGATATTGATTGCTGAGAATGAACAGAATGGAAAAGATGGCCTGAGGACATCCCAAGAATCAGTAGGACTTCTATCTTTGAGGCAAAAGAATGCTTTAAGAAAAAAGCCCCAGAGCACCATGCTCCAGAATGGCAGCGTATCAGAGAATTTGTTCCTCAGAAATAAAGTCAGACTGATCAGTAATCCAGACACTTAAGCCTGACAGCAAAAAGAGGAGAAGACCGGATAATGCTCCATCTAGTAGCAAACCTTGAAATCATTGGTGTGGTGATCGTCCTAGCTGCATAAAGAATTGAAGAGTTGTGAGGTCAAGAAAACTTCCCTCTAGATTTCACAAGAAGGTCTGGGAGGCCAGTATGGCCCTGAGAGGGCAGTGTGTGGGGCTAGGAAAGTGAAGACAAAGGGGCAGCAGAGATCCCAGAAATTTGGAGAACCCAGCAACATGGACCATCTGAGGAAAACTGCAAGGAGGGAGCAGAATGGGCCCGAGAGATAGCAGTGCCATGGAGGTGGAGTGACCAAAATCCTTTAGAGTTCACATCTTGGCACAGATTATCTGAGGTGCTTCATTTGTATCTAGAGGGCTTAAAGTTTGCTATGCTGGGTTTTAGACTTTGGTCTCTTTCTCTGTATTCTCCTGTTTGTATTGTTTAAAATGGAATTGTCTACCTTGTGCCACTGAATGTTGGCAGTGTTTAACTTTCCTTTCATTTGTATAGGAGTTCACAGATGAGTCTGCCTTAAATCTCAGAGGAGACTTTTGACTTAGAATTTTCAACAATGCTGAAACTATTAAGACACTGGCAATTCACAGAGATGGACTAAATCCCTTTTTTATAAAAGAATGTGCATGAGTATTTGGGGAACCAGGGATTGAATGTTATGGCTTATGCCTAGATATCCACCCAAAGCCTCATGCAGTCATACATGGTACTTTTGCAGATGTGGCTGAATCTAGAGGGTGGGAGACAAGGATCGATTCATGGTGTAATGCTAGGCTCAAGGGCACTAGGATTAAGAGAGTGACTGCTACCTGTCCTAAGTAACTTGGACAGCATAAGAGGCCACTAGAATCCTTTCAGCAAG